AACAATTTTTCATAGATCATTGTGAACAATCGATATTCAACGATGACGAAATAACATTCAGTTGCAATATCCAAAAGTTACATGTTTTTTTAAGAGAAATTAAATATTTTGAAAAAATTACTGAAGAAGAATCCCTTAAGTACCAAGAAAACACGGTATACCAAGATACTGCTACGAAATTTATGTTATCTGAATACGAACTCATGAGTGATATTGATTGGACATCAACATTTAGTACTGTTAGTGCCACATACGATATTTTTTACCAAACGCCATCACAGGATGTTCTAAATAAACCAATAGTACGTCAACAAATATTGGTTCAATACGATACTATAGAATTAGAAAATGTGTTAGAAAGATACAGTATAACGTATACTAATGACATTATTACCTTTAAATGTGCACCTGTGCCAATTTCTGATCAGCATGAAACATATATTGGGGTAGGTCATTTAATAATCTATACGCTCCAAAGGCTTGAAGAGCATTTAACATTTATACTTAAAAACTCCAATAAAACCATATCTCAATTAAACAAGGACCAAATCGATCAAAATGTGTTGAGTCCATTTAAAAAGTTATGTGATTATGTTCCGGAAATTCTTCTGTATTTGTTCGAACATGACCCAAATTCCTCGATTCATAAAACTTTATTTAGTTTGTATTTGTCACTTTGCGGAAATAATATGGACTTTATCGATTTCCGTTGTCCCGCTAAATACGAAGGTGAGTTGGAGAACAAACCGTCATATCAATATAAATGTATTACGGATGCAATAAGAGATAAATTGCTGTGGAATTTTTATAGTCGAACTGGAACAATTTTAAAAGAAGATGAATATACGACAAATTCAAATATAAATACTGATTGTTCAGAGTTAAATTACAAATATATTAAGGAAATTTCTACTACCCTTACTGATTTCTACAATAAAAAAGATACCGAAATCATAATATGGACCACGTATGATTGGTTAAGTTTAAAATTATTACTCACCGAGGTATATACAGATAATATCGACATTAACAGGGTAAAATACAATAAGATAAATATAGAAAGTATACCATTCACATTGACAGAGATATACTATTTTTTTTTACCGTTAAATACAAACATAAAAACGTTTCTAACTTTCCACAATATCGTTTTATGCAATTATCTGGACGAAA